ATGGGAAAAACTGACCAGAATGACAAAATCACGCTGTAACTTTTCTACTGTTGTTACTTAGGAACTGAGGTTCTGGCGACACAGGGAATAGGAAAAAAAAGAAACTTTTAAAAAAGACACACAAATGAAATACTTTGGCCAAATCAAAAGACATAATACTCTTTTAAAAACGATTCTGGAGGGAAAGTTGAAGGCATGGAGGTAGATGGTGGTGCAAGTAGGAGTAGAAGTAGGACAAGGGGATGCTGTTATTGACACAGATGTCTGTGTTTCACCATGTCAGCTCTTGGGCTTTCACGGCTCAAGTTGGAGCTAGAATTGTAAAGCAAGATTCTGCTGCTGTTGCCTTGACCCCGAGTATTCTGACTTTGGAGGTCATAGCAATGAGCAAAGCAATAACATGACTGGAGACACAGACATTTTCCCGTGCATGCTTTCTCAGTTACTCAATTAGTATGCTCAGGAAAATAGATAAGACAGTAGTTGGAATCTCTAAAGCAGTCGGAGCTGACACATAAGTTTCATATTTGTGCAGGGTATGCAGGCGTGCAAGGAAATGAGCAAGCAAGCTGATCGGCTTGCAAGTAAAGTTGATGTATAGGGCAGACAAGCCATGGACCATGCTGATATTCTGAATGCTTTACGTAAAATAAGACATTTGCAAGAAGCAAGTGATGACTGTCAACCATGACCAGACTGCAAGACATATTAAAAGGGGTGTGGACAGACAAGAGCACTATCGTCCTAGTTGAGGTTTCACTTCACTGCACTCAGATCACCTCATACTTGCTCCATTCCTAAGCCAGTGAAAATGAAATCTTAGAGCACTATGCAGGAAGCCAAAGAAGAATAAGAAACCAACACAGAACTAGTGTCGTCAGCCCCTACATGCTGAGAGATTTGATAAGGAATCCAAGCACTTATGGAGAGAATGGTTTGATGTGCAGTGAGGATAAGCTGTTGTCTAACTAACCAGTAGTACAACATCATGAGATGGATGAACAGTAGTCTGAGGGAGTTTACAACCTGGACGAGAGACCATGTTTCAGAGATATGTTGTAGCAAACCTTCATTGTGGAGTTGGCATTTGACTGATAACATATTTATTTCTCATGTGAATTCACATAAGGCAAGAGTACAACAAATGCTATGTATCTCTTAGTAACAACAACAGAGGATACACAGAAAGTGAATACAGACCTCTTGAATATACATTGATATACTGCTGGCAGAAAATTGTGTTACTTATTTCTGCTTTAATGCTTGCGGCCTAAAGTCAGTAGATTAGTTTGAACAGAATATTTCATTTGCAGACTGACTGACTGGATACTCACTTTGATCTTAAAATGGAGATAGTAACTAATGATATTTTTTATAAGAACTGTTGCCACAATTTTTACCTTGTCTCTTCTCTTTACCTCATCCACCAGCTCTCTTGCCATACTTTATTTGCACTCATTTGAGGTCATCAAAGTATTGTGTCAATTTACAGCATGGCTGTGATATTAGCAGTCATCTGATGTCATCAATGTAGTGTGCACATTTACAGCATGGCTGTGATGTTTGCACTCATTTGAGGTCACCAATGTATTGTGCACATTTACAGCATGGCTGTGATATTTGCACTCATTTGAGGTCATTAATGTATTGTGCACATTTACAGCATGGCTGTGATATTTGAGGTCATCAATGTATTGTGCCAATTTACAGCATGGCTGTGATATTTGCACTCATTTGAGGTCATCAATGTATTGTGCACATTTACAGCATGGCTGTGATATTTGCAGTCATCTGAGGTCATCAAAGTATTGTGCCAATTTACAGCATGGCTGTGATATTTGCACTCATCTGAGGTCATCAATGTATTGTGCACATTTACAGCATGGCTGTGATACTTGCACTCATTTGAGGTCATCAATGTATTGTGCACATTTACAGCATGGCTGTGATATTTGCACTCATCTGAGGTCATCAATTTATTGTGCACATTTACAGCATGGCTGTGATATTTGCACTCATCTGAGATCATCAATGTATTGTGCACATTTACAGCATGGCTGTGATATTTGCAGTCATCTGAGGTCATCAGTGTATTGTGCACATTTACAGCATGGCTGTGATATTTTCACTCATCTGAGGTCATCAATGTATTGTGCACATTTACGGCATGGCTGTGATATTTGCAATCATCTGAGGTCATCAATGTATTGTGCACATTTACAGCATGGCTGTGATAATTGCATTTTCTGGCCGAAACATCCTACTCTTACAAGCATTTGATGCCCAAATTAAACTTCCTGACTTGTTCCACTTTTGCCAAGACTTCCAATAGTTTTGTTTCTAAGAAATGTGTCTTATTCTTTTCTGTTTTTACAAATTCTAGGGCCTTATGTCAATGTTCAAATTTCTTGTTCAGTTCATCAAAAACTAAAAGGGAAATCAGCTTTAACACTAAACAAGACATTGAGCTGTAACATAATTTATTTCATATTCCACGATCGTGTTGTTTTAATACATGCAACAAACTTGTGGGTGGATGTTTTCTTCGTGTTACAAATATTTCTATTTTACATTTTCTTGATGTAAAATAGGGTGCATTTAAAAATAAAAACATGTCGGTATCTGTGGATAAGGGGTCATGACCAGTTTTATAACTGTGATATGCTGCTGGCCATTTGACAGCAGACTGTTTTGCACTGATTTTGACAACCTTCTGGGTGCCAATTACTCAGGGAGCAATCACAAACTAATGAATATAAAACTGTTCAGTAACACCAACAAATAATGAGGTTGTTTTTTGTGGGGGAAAACAACACTGTTTTTGAAACGTGTATTTATTGTTTACACTCTGTCACTAATATAATTAACAAAAACTTCTCTTATTAAACGGATGTCTTTTTCAGTCTCAAATTAAAACAGCTCAGATGTTGAAAAAAAACAAAACAAAGACAATTCTTTAAGTGAAATAGGGACTGACATATTCCTAATATTTATAAATCTAACCTTTTTTTGTGCTGCATGGAAGTAAAACGATTCTAGACACTCTCTAAGATAAAACATGAACACTGTCTCGGAAGACAATGAAGAAAAGTGTCTCATAAACATCAGCTTGTCTCAGAAACTGAAAGATTCTTGTCATATTAAATGTCACAGTGGCTACTAAAGAAAAACAGAAAGCATGGTTCCTAGAAGGAGTTGACCAAAATAGACACAGCAGGACACTGTGAGCATGAAGATACACCAGGTATGGGGACTAAATTACAGACGGGATGATTAGCAGGACAATCTGCAAAAGACCTGCTATCATGACTGAATGAACAGTAGTTTTTCTACTGCGTTCATCACATTCAAATGTCAGTCATAGTAGTAAGTTTCTGGTTCTGTATGGTAAGACTGGTTTCACATAACAAACATTTTGTGTGTAAAAAAATACAAACTTGAAAATATGAATTAGGTGTGATCAATGAAACCTGTCCCAATGGATTTATTACCAACTGATTTTTTTTTATAGCAAATGCGGCAGAGAAAAAAAAAGAACAAAAGTAGCTGTTAAGAAGCAACCATGAACTCTGGGTCAAAAGAAGATGTGGGCATTCAGTCATGCTTCCCACCACTTGGGAAATGGCAGGTACTTCTCGTGAAGGAGGACAATGGTTGTTCACTGAACCATGGGGGTCTAGAATATTTCTACTGCAAGTCTGCTGTCTGGATCGAAGTAATGGCACCACAAGTAGCACCATGAGTCTCTGCAGCAGAAACGCATCATTCTCTAGTCTGTAGCTCAGTAAGTGATGGACTGTACCTGCCATCTCCTCAAGCAATGGCAGGCATGTCTGAATGCCTGTGATAATGACCCCAGATGCACTGCATGCTTACTTCTTAAAAGCTGCTTTGCTGAATTCTGCTTTATATACTTATATAACTTTCATGCAACTGTAGTTTACCCAGTGGGACAGGACCCGTTTAACCACATCTCAGAAGTTTCGTAAAATGAACTCAGGACTGTTCACAAGTTTAGAAAAACGTTTTAAAAATAAAAATTCTGCAATCATGAAAACAAGACTTAACCCTTTCAGTCCCAAGGAACACATCATACGTTCAATCAATCAATCAATCAGGTGCCATCTCCACAATGAAGGTTGGCTGCAATGAATCTCTAACAAGCCCTGTCTCTTGCCCTTGATGTACTCACTCATACTGCTGTTCGTCCATCTCTTGACGTTAACCTCCCACTTGTAACGCTATCTGCCTCTTGCTCGCCTACCTTGAACCTTTCCCTCTAGGATGATCTTTACAATACTGTTATGTCTTTTAATGTGACCAAAATATTTCATGTCTCTTTTTTATTTCACCTAGCAACTCTCTTTTCATTTCCAATTTCCTCAGTACCTCTGTATTTGATAGCTTTTGTTTCCACGAAATACGACCTAATCTTCTGTATATCCACATCTCCAAAGAATTGATATGATTTTCCAGTTGTTTGTTCATTGTCCATGTCTCTGTGCCATACAGTAAGGTTGAGAATACATAACATTTGACAATTCTCATTTTTAATGTATTGCTTATTTCTCTTGATGTCAGTAACTTTTGCATGTTGTTGAAAATGTTTTTGGCCATCCCTATTCTTTTCTTGACTTCTGTTTCACTTCTGCCGTCACATGTTATTACTTGTCCAAGATATAAGAAACTTGTTCCAATTTCACCCCGTTCACTGTGTTCATACGTTCACAGGTTCCCAATGAACGAAAGAACAAAAGATGCACCAATTTTATGCCTCTTTTTTCCCTACCCCTTAAGCATGTAATGCAAAACCTCCGGGGCAAAAAAGATTTACGTATGTATGGAGCACTTAATGTTGTGAACTAGCAATGAAACTGTTTTATTTTTTTTAATATAAAAGAAATGTTTGACATAAAACTAAAACAAATGGAACCAAAAGAAGTTTATTTAATGAACATAACACTAGGGATACATTTCAGATTAATATGCTTAAACAAGTGTCACAACTTTTTCTTGTTTTCAGCAACAGCTGTCTGGGCCTGTTTCTTGGCTTTCACCAACTCACAGAGTTCCTGTAGATCAGACATTCATGCTCATAACACTTCAGATATCTGTTGGTTGTACTATTTCTATCAAATACTAGATTTGTATTCAAAAATACAGCAAAACCTCATTTACACAAATTCTAAAGGACTGAAAAATCAAGTCCATGTTTTTGACACAACAAAAACAACAACTAAAGTTTATGCTCACCAGGGAACAATAACACTAATACATCCGCAGGAATCAACATTTTGTGGGTGGGTGTTCTTAAGCGAGTTCGTGTTTTTTACCATTTTTTTTAAACCATTTCATCTGTTGTTCTTTAATGAACTATGAGTGACTGGCGACCCTGTATTTTCATTTCACCTGTTGTTCTTTAATGAACTATGAGTGACTGGAGACCCTGTATTTTCATTTCACCTGTTGTTCTTTAATGAACTATGAGTGACTGGCGACCCTGTATTTTCATTTCACCTGTTGTTCTTTAATGAACTATGAGTGACTGGAGACCCTGTATTTTCATTTCATCATTGCTCTTTAACATATTATGAGTGACTGGAGACCCTGTATTTTCATTTCATCATTGCTCTTTAACATATTATGAGTGATTGGAGACCCTGTATTTTCATTTCACCTGTTGTTCTTTAATGAACTATGAGTGACTGGAGACCCTGTATTTTCATTTCACCTGTTGTTCCCATTATCACAGCCTGTACAAATCCCACTGCATTATGCTTTGTGTTCACCTGTTTATCGGCCTCACCTGTTTATCGGCCTCACCTGTTTATCGGCCTCACCTGTTTATCGGCCTCACCTGTTTATCGGTCTCACCTGTTTATCGGCCTCACTATATTTTCAACTGTCAAGAGATTTTCATCATCTCAAGGATACATACTGGATCTATTTATTGTCCTTGTTCATGTATGTTTCAGTCCGCTTTTCTTCTGATGTCCATGACAAGTTTACTGTGTATCGCTGCCTGTTCCAAACAGACCACATTATTCTATGTAGCTGCCTGTTTTATCTGCTTTATCAATATATTTTTAAATGTTGAGAGACTAAACACGTGAAGCAGGCACAGGACCTATTTTTTTTCCATCCTTGTCCCAAAGGTTAAGGATCATATTCATTATCCTGGAATGAGAGTAGTATACCATTTTAAAATTTCTTATTTTGTATAAATAATCGCCCACACTAAATTTTTTGTTAGGATCCCTTAGCTAGTCAAACACTATACCTCTAAGACCAAACCCCCCCGGAGTATAACAACACAGTCTCTCAGGAATACATAACAACTCAATCTCTCAGATATGTTGTTGTTATCGATCCAGCGGCGCATGAGCTTTCATTTGGCCCAATGTAGTGGAAATTTGCAATGTTTTCACAAGCTGTTCTTTTCCTCCGTACAAGGTGTTCCACTTGTCTGGTCTCGGAGGGAGTAGCGTTCTTCTTGTCACTGAGTTTTGGGCACTCAAGAGATGTGTTCAACAGTTTCGTAGGGTAGTTACATAGCTGGCACTATGGGGAGTTTCTGTATTCTGTTTAAGGTGTCCAGTGAGTGGAGTATGTTGCGTTCTAAGTCTGAAGATGGTGGCCTGGTCCCTTCTTGTTAGATGGTTAATGCTGTCATTAGGATCAGGGGCCAGACATTGTCTATTCAAACCTCTCTTCCAGTGTCTCCCATATCTGTTCAACCAAGTCTCTTTGTTTATAGCTCTTATCAGTGTTTTTTGCTGTCTGGAGGGTTGTCGCTGTAGGTGGTTGTTCTTCGTGTTGCTCCTTTCTTTGACAATCTGTCATTACCTGGTGTGCCGGAGTGACCTGGAATCCACTGCATCACTATTCTGATGTTGTATGAGGTAATAAGATGATCGGCATCCAGGATTATCTTGGCTATGTCAGTTCTGCAGCGTTCATTGCCCTCCAGAGCTTGAAGGGCAGACATGAATCTGTGAAGATGACAATATTTTGGACCTTTGAGGGGTAAACATCCATTACAGTCTTTAGGTGGTATACTGCTGTTTCCAGTGCAATTATTTCAGCTTCATAGTTTTTCCCCGCATGCATCAAAATCTCTCTTCAACAGATCCATCGGGATACCTATGTAGATTCCGTAACCTGCTTTAATGGTAGCTTTAAATGCTGATCCATCAGTATAGACATGTATCCTTGGGGGTAAGAATCAACGGTCCTTTAGTGAGTTCATAAGAGCGATTGGGTCGGACTGTTTGGTTTCCTAGCCTACCAATTTAGTTTGGACTTCTGGAGCTTTAAAGCGAGCATGTGGTGGTAGGTTTTTGCAACATTCTGAATTCCTTGACGTCTTTCTGGGAGGTGGTATCTGTCCTGAATTTCATTAACACAGTGTAAAACCGATTTGTGCTTTATTTCTTTATTTGGATTCCCAGTTTTCTACAAGATGTCCTATTAAGGATGGTTACGATTTTTCCTAACGCATCTTTCATAAATTTCTAAAGTGGCTTTTCTCTCCGCAACCCGAGGGGTTCCACATTTGTATGGATTTCACATGCAGCAGTTGGTGTAGACTGCATAGCTCCGCAGATTAATCGGAGGGCATTATTTTGTACTCTGTCAAGAGTCTCTAGGTAGTTTTGGAACAAGTTGTAAGCAGTCAGTTTGTTGTACTCTCCTATCACAGAGTGAACATATCCTAGGGTATAAGCCCCTCAGAGTTTCCTTGTCTGATCCCCATGATGTACCTGCAAGTCTCTTAATAACTGTAACCGCCTCAACAACCATGTTTTCAATATGGTTCTTGAGGCTGAGCTGCGGGTCAAGTGTGACTCCAAGGTATGTGGGAGCATCTCTCAGATATATATAACTAAATCTCGCAGATATATTTAACAACTAAATTTCTCATGTATATACCAACTCAATTCTGATGTATAACAACTCAGTCTCTCAGAAATATAACAACTCAGTCTCTCAGATATATATATATATATATAATAACTCAATCTCTCAGATATTTAATGACTCAAAAGTCTCTCAGATACAATTCAATCTCTTAGATATATATAACACCTCTACCAATCAGATATAAAACTCAATCTCTCAGAAATATATAACATCTTAACCACTTGGATATATATATATACTCAATCTCTCAGATAAAATAACTCAATCTCTTTAGATAAAACAACTTAACCACTCAGATATGATAATCACTCTCAGATATATAACTCAATCTGACATATAACAACTCAATCTCTTGTATATAACAACACTATTTCTCAAATATATAACTCAATCACTCAGATAAAACAATCTCTCAGACACAACACCATTTCTGAGATTTAACAACTCAATGTCAGAAATAACAATTTAATCTCTGAAAAAATAACAACTAAATCTCTCAACTCAACACTGACCTTGTATCTTTTCATGCAGTCTTTTTTACTCCTGGAAGGGATGCCCGATGCAATCTTGTCCCAGCGGTCGGCTTCACTGGCAGGGTAAGATTTCAAAGCCTGTTCCAGAAGCTTCTGCTCGTCTGCTGTCCAAGGAGCTTGATTGGTGCCTACTTCTCTCACCTGCTGCTCTCCAACACCTGTCACACAGAAACATCCACCCAGTGAATACACATCTGCTGGCATGCCCAATGTTAGACTACATACAGACATTCTGGCTGTTTTTTCCTCTCCAAGGAAAAGACGCTGACCTCGTGGGTTTAAATCTGTGATTCATATTTTCTTATAAAGAATGGACAAGGCTCTCAAGTCGACCTAGCCTAAAAAAAGGTACCTTCTTAAGTCCTAGCAAGATGTTGATTACACCGCCCACCAAGCGCAAATTTGTCTTTAAAAAAATAGGTCTATACCTAATACATCTGAAGGGGTGGAAAAGGGTCCTTTGCTTTACATTTCCAGGGTGTTACTTGAAGGTCTGACCATGCCTATAACACCTGCATCACACCCAAACTGAGCAAATCGCAGATACCCAGTTCAACTTCCTAAGAAGTTAAAGTTCTAGGACCCCGTTGTGGGGGGAGAACATACCCACTAACCCCTTGAAAAGCATGTTGTAAAAGTAAATTAAATCAAGGGTATTTTCTTTTAAGTGGAGTGCATCTGCCTGAGAGGCAAGGAACCAACAGTCTGCATATAAATATTTCAAATTTGTAGAATAGTTGTGCATGCAAAACTCCAGTTCTGGAACTAGACTAAAGTCTGGAGGTGGAGGGACAACAAGAAATTTCTGCTGTGTGAATGTGAAGAGGAAAAGAACACCCACAACAATTATGCCAAGTATTACCCTGGTGTTACATTTAGTCCAGGCTGGGTAATAGCAAACAAAATTACCTTTAAAGAACACAAAGGGAAGGAAAACCAATTTTCACCAAAATAACCAAAAGTTTGTTTTTCTCCCCCTCAAATTTTTTTTTAAAGAGAAAACATTTAAATTGTCATTTATACGTATTTTGTGTTTTTAATAACACCAGCATGTTTCATTTAATTTGGAATGTGACCTCATTTCTTTCTTCCATTTAATCTTCTAATGAAGCAAATGCTCTCAAACAACACATAGAGAGGCCTTTGTAGATGACATTTTTCTATCAAATGAGATGTGGAAGTCTCACAGCAACTCTGATAGGTTTGGTAGGTTAAAGTGTTTCTTCTTATTAGCTTCACCAGCTGTAAACCCACGGTGGAAAGTTCTGCTTGTTTATCAACTTCTGAACTTTAATCTTGTTCCAGGACCTGAGTTTCTGGTTGCACATCCATTTGAAAAATTTGGCTTGTTGGTATGCAGATTGTGAGTTCCTGGCCTCTCGGGCAGATTTTTTCCAACTTGGAAGGAAACACCACTAATTAGTCGGCTCATACGACATGCTTGTTGGGGGAAGTGGGTATATTGTTTCTTTCTCCACAATGGGGCTCCTCTGGAGTCCCAGAAACACAAAAGTGGGCTGATCTAATTATTAGGCTTTAAACCTAACTTTCTACCAAAATGAAGAAGTAGAAAAGTGGTTAGACACTTACTGGCCCGTAGGTCTTAGGTTCAAAGCCTCAACGAGACTTTTTTTTTAAATTTTTTTCAAAACTGACCTTGGTTCAAAGTAACCCCAGCCTAAAATTAGCACCAGTAAAGGAAGTAAAGGTGACCGCCGTGGTGTTGACCATTCACCCATCCAGTGCTGACTGGTCTTTAAAAATTTGTGTCTAGTATCACATGTCTGATGCCCCCCTGTCGTAACGAGGGTCCTTAATTCTACCAAATCTGTCCATGATAAATAAACTATCAGGGTAATTCATTTTGAAGTTTGTGATCACCTTCTTATACAATTGGTCCCTTAGGCTTGGCAACCTAACAAGTGGTGAACAGTCTCTAAGACTGCCATCAACATTTGGAGGTTGCCGAGGGCTTTCTTCCAGATTCTCTTCCACTTGTATCTCCTGAAGCCAGAGTTCTCTACACCAAAGAGGGACCACATTTTCTACTACTGATCCTCCGAAACATGTCTTTTTTTTGGGTCTGTTTGTGCCACTTTCACGAGGAAGGCCAGCTGCAGTTCATTTACTGCTGTCTATGAGGAATGGTGACTGATATTTAACCCTACCAGGACTGCATAATGAGCGACTAACACCCAGCAACACAAAGGGCCATCTATCATCTGGATAACAATCCCCTATGCAAAAGTCTCAGAAACCTTGTTCACCCATTAGGCTATATTAGGGCACCCGACAACAGCTAAGTTTGGGCTATAAAATAAATAAAAACTGTGACCCATAATGGGATGGAAGGGATGTGAGGTCCACATCTCTTTCATGGTATGATTCTTGTTCCACCACTGTATGAAAGCCATGAGAGCAGTATTTTTTTTTCCACAACCACCTGCCATGGAAAGTAACCCCTAGTTAAATACTACTTTTCTGTCTTTACAGTAACATTCATTTCATATTCACTTCAAATTTCAAGTGTACTTTGAGGAAATGTGACCATATTTCAAGAAGTTATAAAAGCAGGAACAAACCATCAGTGAAACATTTATAAAAATAATGTAAGCCTTACTCTCCAGTCTTTCACTAGGCCTTTCCATGTGCCCAGATTTAGCTGCCTTGTGGCTCTGTTCAAACTTGGCAAATGCATTCTGTTTAACATCGTCTTTCAACCTCATATCTGGATGAAGAAATACATTAATATATTCATCATAGTAAAACCAATACAACAGTATAAGTACTACATCATCATAAGCCACTTCTGCCGTTAAGTGTTAAAGGGAGAAATAGTGCATGGGAGCTGGCACTGGCTACTGTCATGCCATCAAGGCGTAGTGTCTTTGATGATGTCAACCCATTTTTTGTGTGTGGCCGCCCTCTTGCCCTCGTAGCTGATCTTCTGAGATGTAGTGCCTGTGATAGTATTTGATGCTGCTAAATTCTAATCAGATGGCCAAACTACCTGATCTGCTTTTTCTCAGTGAAGCTAGCACAAGGTGTCGGTCCCACAATTTGTCTGATAGTATCATTCGTTATTCACTCGATCCTGGCTGGTTAAGTTGGCAGCATAAATTCTGTATGTGTGTATAATTTTTTCTTTGCGCTAACAGTTATGCCTGGATGTAATAATGGTGACAATTGATATATAAGTGCACTTGCTTTCCAACATCTGGTTTTGATTTCTCTGTAAATTCTGCTATCTTCTGTGACGACAGTTGCTAGATATTTACATTCGCTAACTTGTTTCAGGCCAGAACCATTCAGCTGTTTATGTAGTGGACCAGGGTTTATACTGACTGCACTGCTTCGGTCTCATTTACATTGATCTTCATACTGTATTTACTGCATGTTGGGCTTAACCTGTTACATGTGGTCTTGCAGTCTGTCTTCCCAACTGCAGAACAAGCACGGGTCATTAGCAAATAGTAGTTTGTTTAATGTAGGTGAGTCGATTACTTCATCTGATGTGTGTACTTCCTCATGATTATATTGATCTATAGCATTTTTTTTACAACTTGCTTCTGTTGACATTCTGTCTTTATAAATAAACGTTAAATTAAAGTGGGTAGGGTGCAGATCCCTGTCTCACACCTGTGAACGTATCTAATATGCTTACTTGTGTTTTTAGTGTACTTTGGCTTGAATGGTACTTTGCTATGATGTTTGCTAGAAATTGTCCTTGTATAAGTACTACAGAACTTTTTAATACCATTTTTCTGTGCCAATTTGTGTTGTTTTATTAAAATGTTTTCAATCCCTAAGACACCCAAATAAAAAAAATGTTATGACTGTTCCAAGATAATTGTACCAACTAACTTGTTTAAGAATTCTGATTGTCTTCAATGCTACAACAATATGGTATTTCTTTTTTTTTTCTCAATTTATTATAATTTCTGATTTCTTAGATTTTAATTCTTTCATCATCATGTGCCCTGCCAGCTGGCAAAAGCGCTCATGTATCTCCACAGATCACAATCCATGGTTCCCTGGAATAGCTCTCTTGATGATATCCCCCCATGCCATCATTTCTGTCCCATCCAGCATCATCTCTCTTGGTCTGCCTCTATCTCTCTTTCCAGTGAACTTTCCAGTTGTCACAATGTTCTCCAATGCCTCTCTTCTTGTTACGTGGCCAAAAAACAGTGTTTATCTCTTTCTTATTGTTGTATATAGAGATCTACTTTTATTAGCATCTTTCAAACAATTGTTGTTGTTAGTTACTCTGACCGCCCAAGGTATTTGTAACATCGTCTCAGAAACCATCATCTCTCTGTTGCTTCTAAATTCCTCTTAATTTATTCACTGACATTCCAAGATTCGCTGCCATAGAGCAAAACAGGTTTTATGTAACATTTAGTTAGCACTCTTTTTCTGATATTAAATGAGAGCGACTTATTGCATAAAGATATTTTTCAATTTCTGAAATGCAGCCTTCGCTTGACCTATTCTGCTTTTAATCTCTGTCACACATTTTCCATCTGACAATATGATTGTTCCCATTTATATGAATTTATTGACCTGGTTAAGTCTTTTTCCTTCAACTGAGATATCAAAATGTATTGTTTTCTTCTTTTATATAACCATTACTTCCATTTTCTTAATACTCTAGGAAAGTGCTTTCTTAGAACTCTCCATCCCCACAAGATCCAGCAGCTGTTGTAAATCAGTTGCATTTTCAGCTATCAAAACTGTATCGTCTGCATTACGCAATTTGTTTATACTGTATCCTCCAACTCTTACTCCTACTTTTTCTTTAATTTCCCTCAAAATTACTTCACTATATAGAGAGAAAAGGTCTGGGGATAAGACACATCCCTGTCTTACTCCAATCTGTTTCCCACTTTAATTGCTGCTACTTGGTTCCATTAAAAGTTTTTAATTATTCTGAGACCTTTCCCAGCTACATTGATGTCTTCCATCATTTTTATAATCTCCTCATATTTAACTTTGTCAAATGCTTTGTTATAATCTATGAAGCACAAATATAAGTCCTTTTGTATGTCCACCGATCTTTCCATCAGTTATGAGTTATGATTTGGGTTTTCTTCACGGCACTATGGACACGTCCATAGGTGCTCAGATTTCCCCTTCAACTCATACATCAGCGTCCTGTGGTTGATAGTCCCAGTCCTATGTTGGTTGACAAGACTTCTCATGTGTCCAGTGTGCTTCTTGTGCCTGGCTGTGTCAATCTTTATTCCCAAAATCCTCCGAACATCCTACCTCTCTAATGGCATTAACAATTTCTGCATGATACATGGGCCGGCCCTCTGTAACTAAGGCAGAGCCAGGCTAATCTGTCGGCTTTTTCATTGCCAACAATACCTGCATACCCAGGTACAAAGATGAAGGTAACTCCATGCACAGTGGAGTTTTGCAATGACTCGATCCACTGTATGCGTACAAAGCTCGCCTGGACCCGCCGAATCATGCTCACGGATCACTCAACACACACACACGTGAGAACAACCCTGCGATGCTAGCCACATGAAAGCTCATGTTACAGCCATTACCTACATTGTCATGTTGCTAGTAGTCATACAGAAGGCACCTCTGGCCTCCTGGACTGTTCTGCCCGTAGAGCAGTCAGTAAATGCCCATGCACTTTTCCCCCCCTCTAACAAGACCCATATCAATGCTCACAATATGTATATTGCATTCCTTGTCCCTTTACCTTCCATAAATCCATACTGCTCTTCACTCATTTCCATTCTTATTTTTCTTCTTGTTCTTCTCATTATAATTCTAAGTAGTAATTTGGTGACATGATTTATTAAGTTGAATGAACGAAATTCTTCACATTCAACTGCTCCTGGTCTTTTGGGTAACACAATAAACACTGATTTCATTTTCACTTGGTATGTACCCAGTGTTATAAATGTCATTCATCAGTTTAGTTAATAATTCTACCCCAAATTCCCCCTATACTTATAATTCTTCTACCGAAATTTTATCTTGCCCAGCTGACTTTCCTTTTTCATATGTTTAATAGCATCACTGACTTCTTCCTTTCGTATAGGCGGACCTTATAAATTTCTTTCTACTGGTAATTCTGCTCTCTTTCCATCATATAAGAGAGCAGAATGAACCTTTTTTCTAAAGTAAACACAAATACAGCATTTATCAAATGCTGCAGGTCTTGTCCAGTTTTTGTTTTTTAATATCCAGAATGGCCATGTTTATTTCACAGGTCATTTCCTAGTACCTACCTAGGCTGGGTTGATCCGAGAGTCCATGTTCTGAGATAAAAATATTCCTTACTTCCAAGGGGATTTGACCACAGGGATTTGAATTCAAGAACAGTGGACTGGCAGACAAGCTTGGCACCACCAGTTCTCACCATCATCATAGTCCAATAACAAGTCATGTTGTTCAGTCATGAGTTTCTCTAGACTGTCTAATCAGTTCCCCTTCACCTCCGTCAGTGAGATACAATGGACTTGATATTTGCATATCTGTGGTCCAATTCTGCATCTCGATCTAACTAGGTCTGTCTCTTCCCCTTTACCAAGCCCCCTAGTATTATTCTGTAAAGTCTAGTATGCCTTGCTATATGTCAGTACCATTACATTTTTTTCTCTCGCTGTTTAAAAAAAAAGTTTATGGTTGCCAATGTGTTTAGTGATGATACAACAAACTCTACAATTTGTGATGTGGTCTTTATAAGATACACCAAGGATCTTTCAATAATATTTCAGTTCTCACTGTAAATAACTAAATAAGTTAACCTACAAACTGAAACACCAGGTAATCATACCATTCTTCTGCAGCTCTTTTGCCTTAGATAAAACATCCTTGGCATTCTTGTCACTACCTGCAACATGCTGGCCTATAAAGTTGGCAATCACCTCCCATCTGCAAACAGACACCATTTAATTCAAAAATATTGTTAAACAATTATATGTCACACCATTAACATATATGTGACATGCACGTTTTATATTCAATGTATTATTCACACACATGTGAGATTTCTAGGCAAATTTGCATCACTTCCCATTGGTAACAAAAATACTTTTACAGGTATTTACAGGTAGTGGGACAACTAACACCTTTTGTCAGATAGGATACCTCTGAATACCAAGGCAAACCTAATAACTTTTGTTGTTGCCAACTTTATGCTAACAGTGTCAAACATTGGCCTTTACTACAACTAATGAGCAAAAAGTCATAATAATGCAGATGAGATGTCCTACAGCTGCCAGAGTGACACTAGATACAATTAAAACATGTAGAAATTAGAAGAAAACTAGAGCTTAAACTAGTCATACAGGTTATTACAGAGCATCTTCTTCTGTTCGCTTGAAAAATATCATCTATATCTGCAATGTTGTCTTTTGTATGAACTTCACTGTCTGTTGTAATTCAATCAGAGACCCGTAAAGTTTGGCATGCACCGGTGTTTCTCTTGGCCCAAAGTTATGCCTCGATGTGTTGTATTTGGGAGCAAAAGATGAGATGGTTTGACCATCTGACAAAAATGTCCTGGTACCAGCTGCTACAGAAAGCCAAGCTGAAGAAATAAAATGAACACAAAGCAAGGGAATTACCATGCAAAATATGGAATGACAGCACAAGAACATCCTTAAAGAAATGTAGATCAACTTACACAAACTAAGAGAAACAGCAAACAGAAAATAAGAAGAAAACATGCACATTTTATATTCAATATGTTAATAACATTTCAAACAAATTTATATCATTGTGTATAAAATCTTAACCCTCAGACGCAACTTTAATGCTAGTAGCTCACAACAAAATTGGCTTCTTCACAACACTGCAGTGTAAAAGAAGCAGTGAAACTAACCACCTGGCCACTCACGCCTCAGTTTCAAAACTGTGATACTCATATTCTCTTTTAAATGCGTCAACTTATGGCCCATATTTTTGCTTTGTTTATTTCAAAACCAAAGAAGTTTCACAAGCAGGCAGCCATCTGCAGGGGAGGTTATACTTTCTTTAGGGATAAATGGGGCAATTTTTAAAGCCATACCTGCGGACAGGCATGAATCACCTTCTGAAACTGTCTATTTTAGTGCTACCATGTTGATCTGTTTAACACTCTTGACATCCTTAACAACAAAACTAACAGGGTACAGTAAAATGGCATGGTTATTGTAACTGCTATCATGGGGAAGAGGGGGGGAGGTGACCTTAGCGTAGTCCATAGGAGACTCACTTTCAAATCCAGCTGTGACTCACTGCAGCCCACGGCCGGTGTTCGAAACCGAGCTGTTCCTGGGGTTCACCCAGCCTCTAGGAAATGGGTACCAGAGTTAACACTCTGGGGTAAATGCAGGAATGCCACTGTAGCTACGGAGTTTTGTGCGGACGGTGACACAGGCAGATAGTTTTTTATTAGCTGTCCGTACTGGTGGCATAGCACTTATAGTTTATAACCGTGTGCAATGACGCTGGTTCACATCTCCCCACTTTACCTTTTATTGCTATCACACCTTTAAGGTTTTCATTTAAAGCTCGCTCATACAATTAGTTGTCCAACATATTACTCACCTGTCCTGTGTCCCTGCAGGAAACAAATTAACTCCTTTTATCAGAGTCTGTGTTTCCGTCTCTGTCCAGATTTTCTTTGTGCTGGTAGTAATTCCTCCAGATTTCTGCTGTGTCAGCTCAAGCTGCTTCTTCTTTTCTTCTTCCATCTGATCATTAAAGTCTTTCACCTAGAAAATGTCAGCCAAGGTTTATGAAGCATCATCACATTCGAGTAGATGGAGGAAAAAATACAGATATTCCACTTGTACTCACAGAAACAAGGGAAGAAAGAAGTAGAAATTAAAACAAATTTTATGCAACTTAAAACTTGATGGGAAAGAACAAACATCTATAGTAAAACCTTGTTAACATAAACTCACTTACAAAAACAAAACATTCTGTTAACAGGAACAAAATGATGTTCCCAGCAGGGATGTGCTACTGTTTTTAGTTCCCAGTTAGCAATGACTTTTTTAACACAAACTCTATTTTCAGGCCTATGTAAGTTGTGTTACAGGGTTTTTGTATAATAAATACTCCTAAACTAAAGACCTTTTAAATTCACATTTGTATACCTCTGAAGAAACCCGGCGCTTTGAAGATCAACACACAATAAATCATATCAGTCATGTGACAAAATGATTACTGGAAATAATAATGAGAGGAGTAAGAAACCAGATAAAAACCAGAAATGAGTGTGAATAATGTGGGTCTGTACAGGAAATAGAAGTTATGCTCAGCTAACAAAAAGCTTTAGAAGCAAAAACAGATTTGTTTCATAAACTGCTTCATAAACTATTTTTTTTAAAGGAAATTAAGTGTGTAAAACATAAGGAATTATATTTAACTGTAAAACATAAGGATATAATCAAACTACCTGAACAATTAAATTAAGCAGTATGGCAGAAAGTAGCGGTTTTTAAAATCAATAACAAAGTAGCTAGGCCATGAATAACCAAATTTGGAAGTGATACAAAAAATAGAAGGGGAAAATAAAAAAAAATAATAAAAAACTGGCTGAGCTAAAGTGCCTCGATTTGCCAAAGAACTGGTCTCGTGTTTTCTATCTTTGTACTTCTTTCTAAGCATGCCAGACAATAATGTCTATTTGTTTATTATAAACCTGAATTGTCCAGGTATGTCATAAGATGTGATTAAGTAAGGTTTGGTGTAGGACTGGCTATCTGACAATGTAGAAAATGTCCCCCAAAAAGGGAGAAAGAAAAAACATTATCACCACTAAAGAATCCTGCCTTAAAGAAAGATTTAAAGCGGTCCAGCTGATGAACAATGCTCAATGTTATAGATTTTAGAAGCTTGTGACTGTTGCATTATTCAATATGCTGGTCTATTTAGTGGCAATGAAGTAAACAAGGACATTTCTATTTGCATCAGGCTCATAATACAGAGCAATAATAAATCTGTTTTTTTCCTAGTGAACACAGGGATAATGTGTTACTACGTGGAAACTATCAGCATTTGTGGCTTAGGAACTCAGTTCTGTAATTTCAACACACCCAGTTCAACAATTCAACTGCAAACATTGTTATAGCAGACATATTTGTGTTGATTTTGACAATGGTATGAACATCGACCAGTCAGTGGGCAATGGCAGACTCATCAACATCATCATTATCATCATCCTTTGTTGACCATTAGACATCACATAGGGCTCCCAATGGATTCCTTCACTCTCCTCTAATGCACGCAACCCTCTCAATTTCTGAGATGGAGTTTAGCCCAGACAGTAAAACTGTCCAGGAAAATCCCAAACAGCCAACAATGGCTGGGGTTGGTCTGCAATGACCTGTAAAGGCTATGCAAACAGCTTAACTGAGAAGCTGCAGTAGGGTAAAGGTTATCACACTTGTTTGTCATCCTGGTGGTCACAGGTTTCCATGTACATCATGGCAGACTTTTTTTTTCACTTGTGCTCTCAGGTCGACCTAGTCTAAAAATGAGTAGACTTCTTCTTAGTGTTCATTGGCTGTCAATTCCGGCAGGGAGTTCTGGCTGTTCATCTATTTCTGGAATTTGGTCTTGTTCCAGAAGTTGAGTTTTACATGCACATCCACTTTACAGATCTGGTGTGTTTGTATGCAGACTGTTGGTTTCTCAACTTTCAGGCAGATACACTCCAACTTGGAAGGAAACTCCCCTAATTAATCGCCTTGTACATCATGCTTGTAGGGAAGCTGTGGGTCTATACCCCATTTGTCCTCCGAATGGGCCTTGGAACCCACACAGGGAAAATTGAGTATACAGCAAGGCAGACAACACAAGATATTCCACTGATTGGTTGACAATGGTATTTAGCAACATATGATTAATATGTCTCAAGATGTGGTAACATAATATGTATCTTTATTTGAATACTGCCATCCCAGAGTAAACAGACCCACTGTCTAGCCAAAAAAGCATGTCGTATGAGTTGACTAATTAGCAGCTTCCTTCAAAATTGGACTGCATCTGTCCGAGGGACAAGGAACAACCAAATGCACACAAGTAAGCAGTAGAGGATTTACATGCAAAACTCAGGTCCTGGCACAAAGCTTAAGTCTAAATGGATGAACACACAGGACTTTTCAATGTTTGCCATTAACAGTATGGTTAAATTCAGAGAGCGAAGCCGGTGAGCACAGAAAAAGAAGTTTGAACACTGCCGATAAGGAGGATACAAGTAAAAGCCTACATGAATTCATATTTGTGCTACCTTACATTGTAAAAAAAAATCATCTGATTTTCCCAGGTCAACAGAATTAAATGTAATGTGGTCACAACAAATAAGGTTACCTTTCTCATGAACACAGCTTTGGCTAGCTCTTTGTCCCCTTGGCTCAGATTCTGATTTAGAGTTTGTAAGCTGTGAGAAAAAAGTATACACACATAAAACATCATAGAAGCTGCGTTTTCATAGTTTCATTTTCAATTTAAAGCAACTGTCTCTTTTCTCTGTGCCTCTAGACTGGTATGCCTAATTATTGATCCAGTTTTTGACTCACTATTATTGTAAAGACCTAGACCAATGATTCCCAAACTGTGTGCTACAGTGAGCCACAACCTCTTCACAGAGGCGCCGCTAAATATTCAAATATATACGAGTTTTATTTGTTTTGATCTCTTACATACGAATAGTCTTACTTAGGTTAGGGCGCCCTGGGAAAAAATTTTAATGAAAAAAGGGGCCGCCACTAAGAAAAGTTTGGGAAACACTGATCTAGACATTCTCATTAGCTAGCCCTGTCTTACTGGTCCATTTAAAATTTATATGCTATGAAAGTGGGAGAAAAACAAAAACAACATGAAAAACAATAACAGCATCATGGATGCTGTGTGTTTCAATAGTTCTATCATCAATTTAAAAGGCATTTTTATGTTTCTAAAGGCTGTTGTACCCAACTGTCAATCAATCTCTGATCTTGATATTATCATAAAAAACTAAACCTGATCTGCAGCTTTTTTACATTTGTAAACCGACGTAAAATCATAAGCACCAGCCAGATCGTAAGTTTCTGCGCTTATAAATGTTGTCTTGTAAATTTAACCCTCAGCACGGACGGGCCGATTATCGGCCGGCGGATGTCTGGCCAAAAACACGGAACGGCCGATCATCGGCCTGATCGTGTTTCGCCATGAACCGTTAAGAAATCTCCTACTTTGAAACACTGAAAGTGATTCATTCATATTCACTGCTGTATTAGCTTTACACATGGTGACTTTCGAGTGTTTGGTATCAAAGTGAAAATTGTTGTTGAATTTTTTAGATAGTGACCTGAACCACTAAAAGTATGTCTGACTCGTATGTTTCTGCCCCTAAACTTGATGTTGATAAAACATTTGAATCAAGTGATTACACTAATTCTGTTGATACTGATGCAGGATCTAGTGTTAGTAGTCATAGTGGGGAATCAGATGGGGACGCTGTTGTGTTCAGACCACAGCCCAACCATGGCTCTGGGTACATCTACCCAAAGATGTTGGCACTCCGGCACATCCATTTCTTGTGCTGACTGATGATCAAAAACACATGTCACCTAAAGATATTATTGTTTCATATATATATATATATATATACCTGTTTCTGACTATTGAATTGCTTACAACATTTGTAAAAAGGCCAAGGATCAATAAAAAGATTTCAAATAAAATATATTTTTGTTTTTAGTTGTATGTTTCATGCATTGAAGTTGAAAATTCACATTCTAATTTTCTATTTTTAGATATGCAAATGAGATAATTTGCATATACACCAATTAATTTTAACGATATTATGAAAATCATGAACTTCAATCTATATCCTTCAAATAGATATGTTTTTTCATGGGGGTCAGAATAACAGAAATGTGTCAAAAAAATTAAATAAAGTAATAACCAAATCTATTGAAAAAATGCTCCATGTTTTTGGCTAGACATCTGAAAAACTTCCCGTGCTAAAAGGGTTAACTAAAGATAACATAATGTACAAATACTGCCTGGCATATTTCGCTGTATCTCATCAGGTACATACTACAACATTTAAACTGACATATAATAAAGCTCATGAAATAAACTATGAAATTGAACCAGTCTGTTGTTACACTGCACAGGTCACCATGGAAATCTTGGATTAACCATGTGATCTTTTTGTTTACATAACACAAATACTCTCATAATAGGTCAATGTGTGAAGTCTAGTCAACAAGGAAGAATCAGGAGCAGTCATTAATACACTCCTCATCCTCAAGTGTTTCTCCAGCAGAGAACAGAAGAGCAATACTGTATGTGCTTACTATATTACACATGCAATAAATGCAATACAGTAGTTATTAAATGTGAAAATAACAGCAAGTATTGTAAACGTATGCAAATGTTTATCACACTATAACATATAATGTTGTAAACTGAGGGGGTGGTACTTTTTAAATTTTTTTTAAACGATATTATTTATCTTAAACTGGTTTGATCTGTGCAAAAAAAAATAATAAATGTTCCTGAACTATGCTACTAATAAAAATTATTTAAGCTTCACTAAATAAAAAATAAAGCCACTTAATAAGGAAGCAAAAAAAAACAAAAACAAAACTAAACAACAAGTAAAAACAAAATGTAATGTTTGTTGTATATTTCTGAACAGCCAAAAAAAAGTACTCACTCGACAAGAGACAAAAGCTCTGCTAACCGGTCTACATCTTGTAAAACTGCCACTCGTTCTTCATCATTTGTTGCAAAGTAGTCAAAGTCCTGTACACACAGATTTAAACAAATTTCATCCACCCACATCACAGGAAATTCTGCCTCTGAAGAATCTTATGCACATATATGCAACATTCACCTTTCAGCTACAGTAATTATAGTAGGTAAAAGTAGAGGACCATATTCAAGCCAGTGGCAGACAAGCATATATCAGACCAATTTTTACAGATGAGTCAGCCGGATGGGTGATGTGGTCAACACCGCACCGGTCCCCTCTACTTCCTATGACATTTTTGTGAGTCCAGTTTTAGGTTGTCGACCTGGGTAGCCAAAGTGTCTGTCTAGTGCAGATTATTATTTATACTAATGAAGGGTAATAACTCTTTTTTCCCATATCAATGTGATGCAAAATTTAGTTGGAAAGAATCAACCCTAGCATTTGTTTAGCTGTTTGTGGTTTTACTAGTCAAATTTTATGTTCTGTGAACTGCCACTGTTACTGAAATGTCGACTCTCAGGACACCTGTCAAAATCAATGTAAGGTGGTCTGCTGCCCAACAGCCTGCAGCTGGGATCGAATCAAACACTTTGCCACTACAAAGCTCATCTGCAATGCCCAAGCCAAAGACCTACTGATGATGAAGTGCTTCTTGCAGTCCATAATGTGTGGTACACAGGTCATCATGCCTAGCCAAAAACTTCTCTCTTATGAATTGGCAATCATCTGTGACACAGACGTTCCTCTATGTTTTTGATGCAATTGTTTTGGAAACAACAGTTTCTCTATTTTTTTCATGCAATCATTTCAGACACAAATCTTCCTCTGTGCTTTAGATGCAATAATTTCTGATACAGATGTTCTTCTGTGCATTTGCTGCAATCATTTCTGATACAGATGTTCTGTGCATTTGCTGCAATCATTTCTGATACAGATGTTCTTCTGTGCATTTGCTGCAATCATTTTTGATACAGATGTTCTTCTGTGCATTTGCTGCAATCATTTCTGATACAGATGTTCTTCTGTGCTTAGGTTGCAATCATTTCTGATACAGATATTGTTCTGTGTTTATGATGCTTTCATTCTGATACAGATGTTCCTCTCTGCTTTTGATGCAATCAAATAGATGTCTGCTCTGTTTGTAGTCTGAATATCCTTCTTTATCTGCCCTCTATCTTCAAACGGAACAAAGGCTAACTCATACCCAACCACTGTAGTCTTATTCAAACAATTCTGGTTGTTTTTGCAGTTGAAGCTTTTTATGGAATGGGGTAGTTAATCCCACCCTTAATCGCCTATTATGACATGCTTGGTCGAGTGCAGTATTACAATTCATGCTTCCCTTACAGGATTAGTAACATATGGCAAAGTCTGAAAATATTTTTCCAGACACAATTAGATCACTGTAACTTCAAGTTGTCTTTGCTAAATTAGCCTCATAAAGAAAATATTTCTTTCCATTACACAATTTAACTTAAAGTTGACTTACCTTCACAGAAGTCCTAAATTGCTTTCTTTCTTTTTTCAACTGTTTTTTGAAAGCATCCTTCTCCTTCTTGGCAATGGCAGCCTGAAACATTATCACAAATTTATTTAATGGTCTTGGCATAAAACATCGTTTACAGTTCTGGAAATCTACAAAGATATTCAAATAAACCAGATGAGTTTTAACTTTTTTTAATAAATGACAATCATAATAATTTGTACCATTTAAAAAAGGTATTATTGTCTTGACAGAAATAAAGTGCATGTTTAAAAGCATTCATTTGAAACCCATTAGTGCTGCACTGCATGTAACTGCATACAGTGAACATGACCATGATATAGTCATGTGATAAGTACTGACCAATGTATAAAAATAGCCCATCCTTATCACCCTACAATGCATAGGTTCTGTTTCTGACCACTGAAAAAATGGCTAGGTTGATCCAAAATCCACCTAAAGAAGCTCAAAGAGCTGTGATTTAGTTTCTTTTACTTGAAGGATGTTGAACAGTGGACATTCATTGAAGAATGCAGTCAGTGTAGGGAAAGTACAAATGTGTGTTGGAGGTGTGTTGAGTGGGTACCACGGATGTTGACTGACCCATTAAATGAGCAACACCTAGGATGGTGTTTATGCAGAGGGTGATGCACTTGTCTTCCGTACAGTTGCAGGCAATGAATCACAGAACATTTTACTTCTTCTGCCCCAAACAGATCGGCCTTTTATTCATGTTTTCTGACCTGTCATATGCGCTAGTCCATGTTAGAGAGGTGTCAGGCAGCACTGTCTTTGACGCTCTCACCGGCGATTACATGTGTACTATATTTCACGATGTGACCGTTTTTAAGGACCCCAGAACATCTACAACTGGTTCTAACCCCAACCTCCATAACGAATAGCCTCAGCCTACATCCCACGAGAGAGTCAGGCAATGTCTAGCTCGCGGACTACACGATGCACATCTTCATGAGGACAATACAACCTGACGCCCCTCTAACATAAACCACTGTGTGTGACAGGTCAGGAAGCATGAATGAAAGGCCAATTACGCTCTGTTTTGGGGCGGAAAATGTTCACACGGTATCACCACTTCGAGCCAAGCAGCAAAAGAGACCACGCATTATGGATCAACAAAAAGCCAAACAATTCAAGCTATAGGTCTCCACTGATAAGATTATGCTAAGCACACCCCCACACCATTTTTTTAAAAACCATCAAGGGCTACTGTTGGCAGACTTTAGAAAACCTGGTGTCAACATCAACTCTACTCACTACTTGGAAACACTAAACAAGCTGCATAAAGCCTTCAAGAATAAACATCCCTTTCTTGTGGTAAGGGAGCTCTAGATAGTACCTCCATATCCACCAACCCAAACAATGATATGCAGTCATGCCTTAACTGTCTTTGTGATACGCATCTAATATGGCACTGATAAATTAACTTCTATTGTTGGATTATTCATAATAACTGTAGTGTTAGTGATACCTATACAATATTATATACACATTCTGCCTGCCAACAGCTAGTGGAAGATTGCAGCTCAACATACATCATGGGACTGACTCTCATTCACAGAACAATAGTGACATCTTGACATAAAATGACAGTGCTCAACATTTGAAGGAGATTAAACAACAACCACCTGGTGCTGCCATCACAACTTGGACAGAAATATCTGATACAACAACAAAGTCAAACTGAGAAAAATTAATAATTTACCTAAAGTTAACAACTAGGTCAGACTGCAGGAAAATTGTTAATTTACCTAAAGTTAACAGTCTGGTCAGACGGATGGGTATAGAATAATTTACCTATGCTAAAGGTCAAAGAAAACAGACAATTTTCATAATTTTATGTCAGTGCGGGTAAAATGAAAAAAAGAAAAGGTGATGAGGAGGGGGTTGCCCACTCTACTTGACTGAGTCAATAACGTGGAGGAAAAAACAACCATCACAAAATAAAATAAGTATACAAACCTGTGTTCTTGCAATTTCATCTTCTAATGCTTTCTTTTGTTTGGCCTCATTTTCTATTTGCCGTAGTCTCTAAAAATAAAAATATTAATGATTTTATCAGATCTTGATAAGTAAGTTCCACACTGACAAATATAAGAAATATCAAGTAAAAACTTCCTCACCCTAACAAGAAACTAAGAAAGATCATATTTATAAGTGTTACTACAAACATAAAAGAGCGAGCTAATGCAAATTCTTTTTTTTTTTTCTAATACTTTCTACTGATGTCCCACAAACAAAGTTGGTTGGTTATTCTTTTTCAGGATGTCACAGAACCAATCCTAGTATTTTGTTGTTTTGGTGCTGTTGTGGTTTTTTTTTTTTAAGCTACTGATTTCTGAACTGTAATCTGGCAATCCCGCATTATGAAGCGTGCTCACAATGCCTAAGCCACAGACAGCGACTCATGCCTATCTGGGTTAAAGGATAGGTTCGTGGTTCATGTGGTCTTTGTCTTCATAAGGACACATTTTACAGAAATAACTGGGACATCAAGCATGAAAGTCATGTTTATGATCCTTGCAAGACTGACCTCAACCTGTTGTGGATTTTAGGGCATCACTGTGGGGGAACAGACCCAATACCCTCCTAACAAGCATGCTGTAAGAGTCAAGTGATTAGGCATTTGTGCTTTGATGTTGAACTGCATGTGCCTGACATGCAAGGAACTGTTACACAAATATGTCAGATCTGAAAAATGGATGCGCATGCAAAACACAGGTCATAGAAAAAGATCAAAGTCTGGACAACGAAAGGACATGTCTTGTAGGTGCTGCGTGAGCACTGAGTAGTCCCAAAAGGAAGTGCTGTGTGGATCAGTGGGAGTCGGTGATCCACACAGCACTTTCTTTTGGGACTACTCAATGCTCAAGCAGCACCTGCAAGACATGTCCTTTCGTTGTCCAGACTTCTTCGGTCAGTTTCCCTAATGGTTCTTTTCAAATTAGGGAACCTTTTACTTGCGAATCCCGCAACGTAATTTATGCAATTATCTGCAAACGATGCAGCAAGGCATACATTGGGGAGACTGGCAGGAAGCTAGCTGATCGTTTCCGGGAACACCTCTCCGATATCGACAAGAAGACACTCAAACAAATCCCTCTTCATTTTAATAGCCCTGACCACAGCGGTAAAGATGACATATCTGTCACAGCATTAAAATCTTGCTCTGGCGATCATACTACCCGCCTGGCTTTGGAAAATTGCCTTATCCACAGCCTTGGCGTTCTTAGTCCAAGTGGTATCAATATCCAACATACCTTCATCTAAATAGTTCTAATCTTATCCCATTTTAAATGTTAATTATTTTATTTTATTTCATATTATTACTTTATTCTATTTCTTCTTAGTATCATTTATGTATCATTAACACTTGCATTTCTTTTATTCCCAGTATTGTGAGTATATTTTTTAGCCATCGTTTATTTTATTTTATTTCATTTATTCCGCATCACACATTTTTAAATGTCGCTCACGTCACCCCTTAGAGATCTACATACTCTCCATTCCTCGCTTGTGTATTTCACTTATGTTTGAAAAAGGCTGCCTGGCCGAAATGTTACGTTGTGTTGTTTTGTGCACATTTTTCTCTTTCCCATTTTGTTGAGCTTTTTAGTCAAATTTCTCTGGAATTCATTGTATTAGCTTGACTGTAGTCACCCCCATAGTTTCACCATTACTGAATGTGAACATTGCCAAGTAAAATTATAAACAGCCACAAAATGCTGGGGTTGGTTCTGCAACTTCTGGCAAAGGATAGGATATGCAACCAAAGAATTTTTGTTTAAACTGCCAACTTGTTATTTGCTACTACCATCAGTGATAAATTGCAGTTCTGGAGGTGATTGTTATTAGCACCTGTAGTGACTGCCTTATGCTTTTACTGCACGAGCACTACTATGGATTTGTGAGAGGCATTTCTTGCGATTTTTCAATGGCAAAGGGACAGATCAATTATGGGGTGACCTGTTTGCAGTAAAGTTGAAAACTCGACTAGCAACTACTGAAAGAAAATTTGAGCCTAGAATCACATCTAGCATGACAGGGTTAAATACCAAAAAAAATTGAGTCTTTTAATATTTTTGTTATATGTCTATTAGTGCTCAAAACTCTATAATGAAATCACCTCTTCTTCCTCTAGAGCTCTCTGTTTAGCAAAGGGACAGATCAATTATGGGGTGACCTGTTTGCAGTAAAGTTGAAAACTCGACTAGCAACTACTGAAAGAAAATTTGAGCCTAGAATCACATCTAGCATGACAGGGTTAAATACAAAAAAAATTGAGTCTTTTAATATTTTTGTTATATGTCTATTAGTGCTCAAAACTCTATAATGAAATCACCTCTTCTTCCTCTAGAGCTCTCTGTTTAGCAATCTCTTGTTTTGCTTTCTTTGCTGCACTCCTTCTTTCTTTTTCCTCATCTCTAAATTTCTGAATCCTAGGGTCACATGCATATGCATTATCTGTGAATTAGACGAACAAGAATACAATATAATGGAATCAAAATCCAATCATTCACAAATATACCTAAACAACCAGGATATAACTGGAGATAATGAAATATTGAAATAGATACTAAAACAGTTAACAGAACATTTTATTAAACACTGTTTCTTGCTTTTTTCCTTCTCATTCTTCACTTCCTTGTTGATCTTTTCAGGTGTTAAGGGAGATAAAATGTCATAGTTCTCACCATTGTAGCCAACATGACCACAGACACATTACACTGTTGTACAAAGTTTTTCTGATGTTATCTTTCCAACTTGTTCTTGGTCTACCTTGAGCTGTATGTTCCTTTCCTCTATTGGAGTAAGCCTTGTTAGTTAGTTAGTTGGTGTCGCATGACAGAATACACACATCTACCGTCTTGGACAGGTCCACAGTCTGAACACCCCCAAAATCGTCATTGTAACTATGATATAGGTTAGGGCGACCGTAGTTATATAGTTCGTTTGTTGTGGGGGAGTCCAGATAAGAAAAATCCCTATAATTCACTTTGATATTGACTCTTTTAGGCTTTTAGTGTCGATTTACACGTTAGGACACATTTTCTACGCCTATTTAAAATAAATTGTCTGACCACTTCACCGCATACGTGAGCAGGATTCTTACACCAACTGCTGTAGTTGGGGACTGTATTTTTATGCGTGACTTCTCTATGGTCCGGTCTTTGAGGCAGACGCTTTCCTTTTGTGTCGTCACTTGACCGTTAAAAAGACAAGATTCTTTATTCTCTTTCCATTTATCATGGGATTTCTGAAGATCCAGCTAGCGTCCGTGGTCCTGATGTGATCTTCCACCAACCAACACCGGGGAAGCAGCTGACTTGAGTTGAACAGCCATTACCTAGTATACTGCACTGTCCGTGAACCATATATCCACCAGTCTCTGGGGAGTGATTGTCCTTGATCTTTCTCAGAGAGATTATCAAGTGTACGGAGTTCTGCTGAGAGGATTGGACTTGGCAGATTTCCATCTTCGGGCATCCTGAGGAGCTGCAGGATCCTACCAGATAAGTCCGAGTAGCACTTTGTTGCGGCTTGACTCCAGTTGTGCCTTCAAAATCTGTCTAAAGCCTCCCGCAAATGATGATTCTGGAAATGGATGTGTCTATGTAGAAAAACTCTTTCTCTAGTGTTAGATTTTCAAAGATTTGAACATTCGTTTTGATTCTTCACGCTACTTTTCGTCTGCCTTGTTATGGTGAATTTATTACATAGAAGTTTTAGTTCATCAGTCTTCTTGTTATTAGAAAAGTTTCGTCTTATTGGAATTCATTGTCTTAGTCAGAAAGGTAGTCCTGTCTTGTCATATTCACTGTTGTTTACTTGTTTGACTGTGTTTACATTGTTACCAATCTGGGGGCAAATTAGTGATGAGGACGTCTGGCCGAGAGGTACCCAAGTGTTCGTAATAACCCTGTGGAGTCAGAGCTCGAGTCACCTCATCCCTGAGACAGGTTGAATGGAAAGTTTGAACCGAGGGTTAAACCTCTAGACGAACGGGAGCCACCATTCAAAACACTCCTGTCTCAGAGCACCTGAGGGATTTGTGAAAATATTCCGTAAGTAAAGGTGCGCGACAAAACTGCCATACGACAGTTGGGTTATCATCATTGCACTCCGGACATGTCTTTAGGTGCTCAGATCCTCCCCTCAGTATGAACCCCAACGTCCGATGGCTAATAGTACCAGTTCTATGTTGATTAACAAGTCTTCTGGCGTGTCTGGTGTGTGTCTCGTTTTTTGCTGTGCCGATCTTAATTCCCAAGTCCGCCATTCTGACGAGTGATGTGGATTCACTGCCAATAAAGTCCTCTATCCTTCCCATTTCTCTGAGGGCATTGATAATATCAGCATGATCCATAGGCTGACCGTCGGTAGTGTTAGCGGATCCAGCCAACCTGTCACCTCTTTCATTTCCATCGAGTAAGCCTTGTATGGCAGGGCATCGTGAGATATTCTTTTGATATGGGCCAATCATTTTATTTGCTGTCTTTATATGTAATCCAGCATTGGTTCTATGCTTACTACTAAATCTTATGACCTCATTTGTGATATTCTTTTCTGGTCACTGCTGCAGCCTTTTACAGACACACAGGGATATGGAATAGGTGGTGCATGTTTTCTTGAACTAAACAGCACTTAGTGATGTTGTCAATATCCTGTGATGACTCTCATATTTCTACATTTCATCTTCAAATGGTCCCTGGCACCAAAAGAAAAAAAGCGCGTACGAAGCCCAATGTATATATATTTGTTAATTGATGCTTGCATTTTGCAGCTTAAAAATGTTCAATAAAGAATCTACACCACAGCACTCGGCTTAATCGTACGTTTCCCTCCAGTTGGTCTTATGTTCTCGATTTGTTCATACATACATTATAATTAGTAACTGATGCCAATATTCACATATAATTTATGTTTAGTAGTTGTCCTCATTTGTAAGTAATGGGAGAATTCACCAATAATGAGAAAATGGATCACTACATATACTTTGCATCACTTCTCACACTGACACTCAATAAATAAGCTGTTAAAGAACAATATTGACTTACCAACCAACTGACGTAACCTGGCAACTTCCTCTTTTTTTAGTTTTTGGCGAGCAGCTTTGTTTTGCTTCTCTATCCATCTCCTTTCCTCACGACTGTAGCAACAATAACAAAACTCATGATTTAGTTGGATAATATTAAACTACAATATTTTTAAAATCCAGTTTTCAACATCTTTATAATTTAAAGTCCTGATTTTAAGTGTGCTACAAATATAGCACAAGGATATTTCACAGGACCTGGGTGTTTGTAGAAAAAGTAGGTAGGTAGTTGTACCCCAACAGAACATCACACAAGCGATAAACACCCAGCGACACAAAGTGCCACCATGCAAATGAGGATCACCCGTGGAGGGGTCACAGAAACCCTTTTTCAGTTAACTGTGTGCTCTTTGTGTTTAGTGATTAATTCATTTGCTTTAAAAAAAAAATTTAAACTGCATGAAATACCAAATTTAACAAATGTAAAATAATATAAATTATCAGTGATTTGTGAGCTGTGTTGTTGTGAATGTTGTGCTCCGTGGTTCGACTCCATGGATGTTTATAACAAATGACCAAGACTAAAAATATTTCTTCTCTTCCTATAGTTTCTTAGGGCAAATAGAGTTTCAGAGAATTATAAAGATGTGTTTCTGTTGAGGAAATTTTGAAAAGGTCAATTTTTAAGATTCTTACGGGGCAAAAAGGTCAACAGAGTTTTGAAGAGAGAAAAAAAACGATTTAAAACAATAAGCTCTTCCTGCTTTTACATACCTCACTGACAACTATGTATTGTTATTAGCGAGTTTTATTTGCTGGTTTTCTCAGTCTGTTGACAGAAACAAGATTTTCTAAAATCTTTTTTTTGACTCTTAATTTTTAAGGGTGAAAACCATTTATTACAAGGACTTACTTTTCTCCTTTTTCCTTCTCTTCTTCATCCATGTAAGAAAATTCTCTCCAAGAATCAAATTCATACCTGCAATGTCAAGTAAAATAATTGCTGACAAACTGGTACAGAAATCATAAAACTAGAATTACTGAAGCAAAAAAAAAAAACATGCTTAATGCATGCAACACATAAATGGCAACTGCAGCATCAGACAGATCTCAGGAAAAAAGTTCCTAAGGGTCTCCACACAGTTATTAACCCATTATGAGTACTGATCAGTGAAATAAATCTGTAGCAAACTGTGGAGCAGGCACATGTTTAACAGACAACACAAAAATAGATCAGCAATGACACTGGGTGAGCGCTGCAGACATTTTCCTCCCTTAGGTCACAATCTGGGTTGTCTTTCTGTAAGCTGCTGAGCAACTGGTTTGACCTCTGGACTCTAGAGCAGATCAGTTTTTTTGTGTGTGTGTGGATAACAAAAGATTTTCCATTAGCTTAGTAAAGTGCTCATTTATAAATTTATGGACTCGATGGCTTAAAGTCTAGTGTGAATTATCTGTCAACTATGTTGGGACTCCGACTTCTACTATGATATAAAGATGCGTGCAAATGGGACACGAAGAATACAGGTACTGAGGTGGACTCATAGGAACAAAATGTCATAGACCGTGTTGTGTGGACAGATGTTTCGTCTTCCACAGCAAATGTATTAAAGCAAAGGTGCTGGCTGTTCCGGCAGCAAACTGGTTGTACACAGGTCATTCTTCCTTTCGTACACCCTTTCATACTGGATCCACTAACATTACACAATCTATTTCATCTAACATCATATCTTACATCAGCTTTCATTCACTATGGTCAGAATGTCTGCCTTGTCTGGGTTTTTTGTGTGGTAATGATATCAGCTTGACTGCAACCACCCATATTTTTATATCTGTGTTTAAAAAACTTTAAACTGGCAGGCAACAAAAAATAATTATAAGCAACACCAGCTTATTCAAAAGTATTAGGTTGGTGAAAGTGCTCCATAATTTCTCTAATCTGGTGCACCAGGGTCTGATTTCCATGGTTGACAGTTTATTGTTTAAACAGATTTCTCGTGGTTGTATGTGAAGTGGGGCTACAGTTGTGCCATGGAAGAGCATGTAACATTTCCCAAAATCCCTGTGTGTGTTCCTGGAACCCATCATGGAGAAAATAAGAAATAACCCACTGTCTCCCCAAGAAGCATTTCATAAGAGTCGACTAACTGGAGGCTTCCTTCAAAGTCAGAGTGCATCTGCCTGAGAGGCAAAGAACCAACAATCTGCATTTAAGTAAGTCAGATTTGTTAAACAGATGTGCACACAACACTCAGGTTCTGGAACAAGACTAATGTCCAGAGGTGGATGAACAACCAGAACTTTCCGCCGGTGAACGCGAAGAAGATTCCCCAAAACCATGGCGGTTGTGAAGCAGCTATATTTCATCATGGATGGCACACAATTTAATTTGATCAGACGGTAGAGAGGACTAAGAGTCATAATGGCAAATGTCTGTTATAGGCCAGGCGGCCGAAGACACATTTGTAAGTGAAAACAACTGTGTTGCAAAGATTTTCATAAAATACATACCAAAAGGAATAAAAATTATTAACTTCATCAAATGAAGTGTTTTCATCACCAAGTTTTGGGACTCTCTTTTTAGTTGACCACCTGCAAATTTAGAATACATAAATTATAGAATCAATAAAATGTTAATAATACAAATGCTGTGTTAAATCTTAACATAAAATTTCAAGTTAAATTTTTGTCTAGAATATTAATCACAACACAAGTGATCCAACATGACACAAATATTTATCAAGTTTCCTGCATATTTGTATCCTGTCTCAGGATAAGGTCTGTACTGATAACTTATGTTTACCCGTCCAGAAAGCAATGGCAAACTACTGGACGTAAATTTGCCTAGAAAAACCACAACAGCTGTTGGGGTTGGTTCTGCAACGTCTTGTAAAGGATATGCAACTAACCTTCTCTTCAAACACAGACATGCGCACACGTGTATGTACACTTCCTCTCTCAAAATTCTACACTAACATTCAGATCGATCTAACATTTGATGATCACATAAGTATGTTGTTTCATTGTCTGCTGTAGGATGATCCTAAAGCATTTGTGCTGGTGCAATACTAGCGTTATGACATAAACAAATTTTGAGTTATGGACCGACATCACAGAAATTTTGTTGTAGCATTTCCTTAAGCACCCTGTCCCTATTTTCGGCAGCCAGCACAGTTCCAATACCAAGGATGACAGCTGCATACTGATTATATGTCAGTCTTGCCTTTCTCCTGAGTCACTCATAACTCTCTCTGGACTTTGATCATCAATCTCCTCATCATCTTAACTCTTTTAGTATCAGAGGATACTTAAATCAATTACAAATCAACGCAAGATGTGTTACTTGGTTCTATGGTCTATTAATCAGACCCATGCTTTCAAGGGTTTTGAGACAATAATTTAATGATTTCAAGGCAACTTTTGTGAGAATGCAGAAAAGCAATATGAGACAACAAAGTCCTCATTGAAAGAGAACAATGAATACAAATCAGACTGTTGACAGAGGTTATGAGAGGAACAGAAAGGAAAATAAAGGTATGAAGTAAAACTATTCCTTAAATGTGCCATTGTGGCAGCAATACTTAACAACGGTGCCATCATGGGAGCAATCAGTTTATCTTTGACTCTCACTGAAGAAGACTGAGTAAATATATATCTGCCCTAAGAGCTAACATCAATCCCAAATAATCCATCAACAAAACCGAGAGAAATACCTTGCATTTCTTTCAAAGACTGGACGAAAGACGGCAAAAAAATTGTCTCTAGAGTTCTGGTTAACGGACGGAATATCATCATCAAATTCTGGATCCACACTGTCAAAAGACATTCTTTTCTGCTTGTTCCCAAGAATCTCATAAGCTGAAAAATAAAACCACACCAAGTCAAACATCAAATACTGATCTGATATAGTAAAATGTTACAGCAGTCAAATAAATTTACCATATGGGTAGTGCTGTAGTGGGTAGACGCCGTGGTGTAGTGGCTAGTTCTGGCCTGCAGGTCAAAAGGTCGTGAGCTGAAGTCCAAAAATGACCTTGGCCCCCAGCCTTGAATGGGTACCAGTCCTGGAGGTAAAGGCAGCCGACATGATCCTGACCACATCACCCATCAAGCACCGATTGGTCTATAAAATATATGTCTACCACTATAAACCTAATATGCTCGAAGACATGGAAACAGGACCTTTTTTTTTTAAGCTGTATAAACCGTTGTAGAAAAAGATTATTCCTAGTTACAGCGAATTTATGGAATTGAGACAAAGCTAGGAGACTATCATTATCACAGGACACAAAGATCAAGTGGGAACACAGTGCAAACGGTCACTGAGAACTTAAAATAGCACTGGTTCATTCAGACTGAGAGACCTAAATAAATAGGAAGAAACTAACAGAATGCTGCAAGTATTGTAACTTTTTTTTTTTAAATCTCAAACATGAGGTTCCAAAATTAATCAAGGAGATGCTGAACCCAGAAATGCCCAGACAACATAATCAGAGACCAAAATGACTACATATTGAAACACCACTGTTTTATGAAAGTAATAATAATATAAAAATGCGCATATATAGTATAAGTACCCAGCAAACTGTGTGAAGCATGAAGAAGTAATCAAACTGTTAAAAAAGTTAAACATTGATGGGAAAGATCTATGAATAATAAAGAATATGTATTGGCAGCAAACAGCAGCTATAAGAATTAACAACTGTTTAGGTACATTTCAAAGCATAAAGAGGGGCGTACGACAAGGATGTGTACTGTCACCTGATTTGTTTTCACAATGCAGTGAATATATAATGAGAGCTTTAATTGGTATGCCCGGAATTGTGGTTGGTGGGCACAACATAAACAATTTACGATATGCTGATGACACAGTCTTGATAGCAACAAGTCAGAAAGAACTTCAGAAAATGATAGACATTGTGGTGTTAGAAAGTGGAAGAATGGGCCTCAGTTTGAATAATGGGAAGACAGAAGTAATGGTGGTATCAAAGAAACAAATTATTCCTAAGTGTGTAATAAAAGTTGATGGTGTTATTTTAGGACAAGTACAGAAATTTAAGTATCTGGGCAAATGGATAACATAAGATGGAAGATGCATAACTGAGATAAGAAATAGAATAGGACAGGCAAAAACTGCATTTTATAAAATGAAAAACATCTTGTGCAATATATCCTTGTCATTGAGAGTTAGAAAAAAGAATTCTTGCTTGCTACATACATCCAGTTTTAACATATGGCTGTGAATCCTGGACAATCGGTAGGCAGGCCAAACAATTTCTGGAGGCCTCGGAGATGTGGTTTTACAGAAGAATGCTTAGAATACCTTGGACAGCCAAAAAGAGCAACCAAGAGGTTTTGAAAGAGGCGGGAGCCCGAAGACAACTTATCACAGACATCAGAAGGAGACAGTCATCATTTTTAGGCCATGTTATGAGAAGAGGGAAAATAGAGCATGTTGTGACCACTGGAAAGATATGTGGAAGGAGAGATAGAGGAAGACAACGAGAGAAGATGCTTGACAGTCTTGTTGCATGGCATGGAGGTGTGTCGGCACACGAATTGATACATGCTGCAGGAGATGGCAGATTACGGAGAGGCATGATCGCCCACGCCAGTCGGCAAGGCACCTGATAATGATGGTGATGACCCAGCAAAAGCATTTCAATATTCCAGGGACATGTACTTCTTTGCGCTCACTGGCAGTAAACTCTGGTAGAAAGTTCTGGCTACTCGCCCACTTCTGGACTCCATTCCTGTTCCAGAAACTTAGTGTTACATGCACATCTATTTTACAGATTTGACACACTTGTATGCAGACTGTTGGTTCCTTGCCTCTCAGGCAGATACAGTCCAACTTCGAAGGAAGCTTCCAATCAGTCTGCTCTTACAATAAATATGCCAGGGGGTGTATTATTGTTTTCCCCACAATGGGGTTCTAGAATCCACATGGGGAGGACAATACAGAGTAAAAATTACCTGAATCAAGACAAGAAGGATATGTGAGAGTAAGAATGTGATGCATACAACAAAATGCAACTGGAACAATCAGCATCTACACCACAACACTGCAGGAGACAAATAATCTATGTGAATGCCTGGTATGTCACAATATCAACTCTTAAATCAATATATATCAAAAATGAATGGGGAAAAAAACAGGTGTAGACTGTGGCAGTCATCAAGTTTTCATCGGGTGTCATCTAAGAGTGAAACCAACAAACTCAAGAAACATATTAAAATCAAGACACCAAATACCTATATGAAAACAGACAAAAACATTCAAGAAAAGTTCATCTAAGAGTGAAACCAAAAAACTCAAGAAACATATTAAAATCAAGACACCAAATACCTATATGAAAACAGACAAAAACATTCAAGAAAAGTTCATCTAAGAGTGAAACCAAAAAACTCAAGAAAGATATTAAAATCAAGACACCAAATACCTATATGAAAACAGACAAAAACATTCAAGAAAAGTTCATCATATCTGTATGAAACAAATGCAAAGTACTTGAATACATTAGTTCAAACAGAAAAATGTTAGAGATATCACTGGAAGAACACATCCTCTAACAAGAAACAAGAGAATGTATAGACTAAAGCCAATTCTGTAGAAAGTGCTAAGGACAAAAGTCAGTAAATGTATGAACAATTTGTTAATGAGACTGTTATTTCTACTAAAATGCAGTAATATATACCTTTAGTAATGCATGTAAAGTAATCATCATCTCCTTCCTTCACAGCTTTTCCTCTTGCTTTCCTTTTGTCAGGATGGTGGGTTAAAACTTTCTGTTTATCTAAATAAAGGAAAACAGAAAAGCTTCATGACATTTTATAATGACTTTTTTTTTAGCTAGCTGGAAAGGATGTATCTCACTTGACACCCAAAAAAGGTAAAAAAAAAAAAAAAAAAAAAAGGAGGTGAATAACAACAAGTAAAGCATAGCATACAAAGTATTCTCTGAAAACATTCATATGTGAGTTATCGTTTTAAAAAGTTGCTGACAAAAAGAAATCTCAAAGATACCACTTTCTGTTTTGAATATATATACAGAGAGAATGAATATACTGGTTTGGACATTTTAAATAAATAAAGCTCAGTCCACTACTGTTTTGTGCCTACAACAAAAGAAGCTCTGGATGGATATATAGTTAGAAAAAAAAGATGAACAACCAGAGGGACAGATTGTCGAGTAGAGACAAAACAGACAACAAACTCAATGCAGCCAGGCATGTGTGGCTGAAGATCTAAAACTGCAACTCATTTGTGTGCTATATGGTCACTGGTGTCCTACATAAATGCTGACTGAAGACAGATGGATGGCAGGTTGGTAGGTATGACAGAAATGTAGGTAAAGGTGAAAGAATTTATTTCCCTGCACCAAGTTTTATCCCACATGGCTCAGTCTTCCTCTGCAAAATGGCTAGCTGCCTGCTAATAGCATCACACAGAGCACGACACCAGTGACTCCGGTGACAATCTCCAGAGATCTTCGTAAAAACTGCACTTGTGAACTGAATGGTGGCACAGTGAAACAAACCCACGACTTCCAGAGGGCGAGGCAAACTGCTTCACCACTTCACTAAGGAGAGATATGAGGGCTTTCAGGCAGAAATGGAAATTGCCACAGCCACCATTAACTTAATAGATGCGTACGACAGCGTCTCATACAATATGCTCATCAGACTGCTGTTGGACATGCATTCACAGAAAAATTAGGTAAACTGAACTGCAGCAGCGCTCTTCGAAAGAACAGTGTCACTTCAGTGCGTTGTGTGGGCACAGAAATCTTAATGTGTCTTAATGGGCTTGCCCCAGTGATCACCATTGTTTCCTGTTCTCATCACACATCAGTAGTCACCAGGGCACAGATAGGCCTGGGCAGAAGAATGTTGTTTCCAGACGATATCCTTGTGTACTGATGAGAAAGAAACAGGCATGAAATTAGAACACTACACCACGAATTAGACTGACTCAGTGAGTGGTGCTAGGAGAACAGGTAAACCTGGCAAAGGTCTCCTTAGCATGGTTCTCCCTGAATACCCACAAGTCAGTACACCAAAGTCAGCTGTCAGCATGTGCGGTACAGACATAAAGAGAATGAACAGTGAAAGATGGACTGTCATAGTTTGAAAGAAGCCAAGCGCAACAAGCTTTAAAGAGGAAACAAGTGAGAGTAAACCAGCCTAAGAATGATAGAGCATCAACGTTTTTATGTGGACTATGTGTCAGAGACACTATGTGCCACTCCCGCATTGGACTTTACAGGCGTAGCAGCCAATGTTCCCAACAGCAGCAGCATAACTCCACGGTCCAATGGGACTGTCGGTTGACTACTATATATATACACATACATACAAACAGACACATACATACAAACAGACACATATTTATTCTCCTTATTGCTTTTTCTTGAGTGTTATAATCACATACATAATAAAATAATGAACATACTTCCCAGATAGACAGAGCTAATAACAAAAAGTGTAACTCACAAGCTCTCTTGATCTGGTCATCTGAAGATCTGTATCGAAGTTTGCTCAATCCCAGAACAGCATAGTGGTCTTGTTTCTGAAACAGAAAAGAACACTTTAATTAAATGTCCATTCCAACAGACTCAATTACATATCTCAATCTCTTTGTCTCCTCTACCTCCACCTCCTCCTACTATTTCTGTGGGAATGTGAGATAGAAAATCTACATATTTTTTTTTAAATTATCAGCAGCACTGTTGCACAAAGTATCAGAAGCAGCCCACTGATATATCACTGACTGAACTATTAGACAAATAGTTTCCAAGAATAAATGGCACAGGTGGGCTAAATTATAAGAGTTGGTGTGGAAATAGTCCTTGACTCAGATAGACAAGCAGCCATAAAAAAATTGTATGCTATCAAGTTGACTTTTGTTTGTCTGCCTCTGTTAGTCCATGGTTGCTGTTACTACTATTTAACCTCTGGGAAGTAAAAGCTAGCAGTGTGATGCCGATCATATAACCAATCTAGCAATGACTAATCTAGAACTAACTGCACAATGCACTAATGGTGTGAAAATACGTATCTTTTTTCTTTTCCTCCACACGAAAATAGAGTTTTTAATATCTTTCAAATTAGACTTTACTTTTGCTAATAACGTAGGCACAGTTTGACATTGCAAATATATTAATTGCTGATATAAAGATGGGAGTTGGAGACAGAGGAATACACCAGCGAGGACATGGAGTCAGCGCCAGGGCATGGCAAAGATAAAAAAAAAAAGATGATTACAATTATACCATGTATCTTTTTCCAGGCCGGTGGATATGCGAGTGAAAACTGCAGCTGCTAGGCATAAATATTTCACTGAGGGCACAAGATCTTTGGTAAACTTTTTATTTCAGGTCGGTATTGTGTTAACTCCTTAATTCTTATGCATTTGTTGCATACAGTTATAAATGTTTAGATCAAGAGAACTAAAAAACAAACATATTTTTACAATGGGGATTTCATGGGTTCTTACAGCAGTTATACGAGGCATAAAGTGTTTGGGAAAAAAAGCAAAATGTGACAGGAGCAACCAGTTAATGCAGGATCAGTTGATCTCTGCTAAAAGATTTAATTTTAAAAAAACAGAACAGGTGTGATCAGTTGTTTACCCTTGTGGAGCTACCTGAGAAGAGGAAGCACCCATGGATCTATCCAGAGTAGGGTGATGATCGTCCTCAATAATCAACTTAGTCAATATTTTACCTTCCATTCTTTAGGATCCAATCGCAAAAGCAGTGACTCATCTTCCTCATCAAACTGATCTTCCTCCTCGGCCTCATCCGAGTCTGTTGAAGAGCTGTCTAAAGAATGATGTGACTGAGAGTGAAGACTGTAAGCACGATGATGGTGGGCCTCAAACCATCTTCCAACAGGTTCAAAATCCAGAGATATCAGTGCTGAAAGATTCCAAAGAGAAAAAAGGACATAAAATAAATGTATAAAAAAACCAGATAAATCTTAAATATACAGTATTTATAAATAGTAAGCGCCTGCACAGTTCAGCTAGAGGTTTTCACTGTTAACTCAAAAATGGAACACACGTAATTCTCGCAAGCAATGATGCATCTAGAGCTAAAACAGAAAACATGCATAATCTCAAATAACTGCAAGACAACCTCAATGAAATCTGAAATTTGTATATCAATATTCTATAGTAGTCATATAACTGACTGCATGACAACCTCCATGAAGCTGATATGACCTTAGTCATATAACTGACTGCATGACAACCTTCATGAAGCTGATATCACCTTAGTCATATAACTGACTGCATGACAACCTCCATGAAGCTGATATCAACTTAGTCATATAACTGACTGCATGACAACCTTCATGAAGCTGATATCACCTTAGTCATATAACTGACTGCATGACAACCTCCATGAAGCTGATATCACCTTAGTCATATAACTGACTGCATGACAACCTCCATGAAGCTGATATCACCTTAGTCATATAACTGACTGCATGACAACCTTCATGAAGCTGATATCAACTTAGTCAGATAACTGACTGCATGACAACCTTCATGAAGCTGATATCAACTTAGTCAGATAACTGACTGCATGACAACCTTCATGAAGCTGATATCAACTTAGTCAGATAACTGACTGCATGACAACCTTCATGAAGCTGATATCAACTTAGTCAGATAACTGACTGCATGAGCAAGATAAACTTGCTGGTCTCTACACCAATTTAAATTATCGTTATATAAATAAATGCACATCTATTCCTGGCATTGTTGATACTGTAGTCAGAACACTGATTGACAAAAACACAAATGAAGGTGATGCTATAGTTTACACAGATGGGTCAGTAATTAGGGGCAGGCGAAGTACATGGGCCTTCACAGTAAGCTCAAGGGGGAAAACCATCAAGGAGATGAATGGCACCTTTGCTGTTACAACTAGTAGCCTTACAGTGGAAGCTATGGCTCTAACAAGGGCTTTAGCATGGCTTGGTACTCAATAGTTCACATACATATGGCATGCATTCTTAGTGACTCGATGAATATGCTTAAAAAAATACAAGCTGGGCCTGATGGTCCAAAGGTAAATTTCAGAGGTGGATTTTCATATTCGGCTTGTGCTCTTGGGACAATCTGGTAAAAATGGGAACTGGGAAATAGCTTGAGGAGTGAAGGTGACTGGCATAATGTTGACACTATATATAATATCATCACCAATCAGGAATGCAAGGGTGCCTGCTAAACCACATGTGCGGTGCACTATTAAAACTATTTGTGAAACAAAAAGCCAAAGATAGTTTTTGTTTCCATAAGCAGTTTAAAAATCTACAGTTCAAAATCTAATTAAAATAATAAAAGGCATTTAAATTATGGAGCTATCCTCCGAATAACGGGCACATATTATGGCGGCCAAAAATAGGGCCTCAGTCAAATGTTAATTGCAGACTTCTGGCAACTACCGCCACCGCTGAGAGTATCTCCCTAGCCGCTACACGTGGCGTGGATTGGAGGTAAACTAAATGGCTGGGACTCACAAGCAAAGCTGCAGGAGATGCGGAAGCTGCTGCTCATGAGCCCCAGCCATCTAGTTTAGCCCAAATCCACGCCGCGCACAGCGGAGTGGGAGATACTCTCGGCGGTGGCGGTAGTCGCCGGATGTCCGCAAATTAAGCCGCCGGAAGTGCACAATTGACATGTGACTGAGGCCCTGTTAGGGTGTTTTTGCGGCCGCCATATTATATGCCCGTTGTTTGGAGGAAAGCCAATTATGGTTTAAGAGCACATTGTGACTAAAATGTATCTCCATACTGTCTGTTTTCTTGTTGTGGAATCTAGTAACCTCTTTTTTTTTTTAAATCACATTTTGTTACGCTGGGGTAGGGACCTTGCCATATACTCAAGGGGGCACAACCTAAAAAAAAAGGTTTATGGGAACGACCTAAAAACAAAAGCTGGAGACCACCGGTCTAAACTGGGCTGGCAGGTGATTTCAGAGCTGGTGGTATTATTTTCTGCCTCGATAATTTAGGACCGTTATTCGGAGGATAGCCCAGGTTCTTTATTATTTCACATTACGCTGGCTTCAGAATTTGGTAGGGAAATCCCCAGAATGTCCTATAGTATAGGGGGCTTGGGGGTTAGGCTTAGTAGCAGTCGCTACTCACTTAACACTAGTCCTAACCTCAAATTACTTCCCTTTCCTCCCCCATTATATGGTACTGTCCTGGAAAACCCCTAGGATCCCTTGGAACTTCCTACCAAGTCTTGAAGCCAGCATGATTTGGTGACTTAAAAATAAAGAAACATGTGTGTAGGCCTAAAGGTGCAAATATCGCAGCTATGCTGTAACTGTAAACAAAACAGGCACGTATATTCCGTACAATGCAATTTTAATTACGTCACGACCAGTGAAAACTCGGAAAGATATCCCTTTTAAAAAATGTTTTTAAAAAAAGTGGGAAATGTTATCAAAAGTAAGTGCCCTAGCCTCCTATCCTATGAATGAATGACTCTTCTGAGATTCTCACTGAGTCATTCTCTGATTCTCAGAGAATAACTCCTCTGGATTCTCAACATTCCATACCGAATCCGAATCATAACCGGTAGAGATACCGCCGTGTGGTGGGGGTTAACAAGCCAGGCAAACGCTGGAGAATGTTTGATAAGTGTTACTGTTACTGTTAGTGTACCACCACCATTGTTTGGATATGGATAGGCTCAATAAATTTCGATATAAATATAAATTTACATCAATTTAATATTTATGTTCTTTAAACACAAGCAAACTTTTTTTTTTTTTAATAAACACGAGAGTGCTAACTAAAAATGCTACATACGCGACAATGACCCGCAGACAGTTGTTTCAACTGGCTGTATGTCCGTTTCAATAAGATCCATTATTTTTATAGTCCCCGTTCTGTTATCGTATCATAACCGTTATTGAGCGATGAAAACAGTTATCCCGCTCAGAGACAACGTTTCTGCCACCCTTGTTTGGATATGAAAGATCCAAAACACACAATCTCTGTCGTCAACAAGCAACTTTCTCTCACGCTTGCCACAAAACGCTGGAGATAATTATGGAGGACAATATTGCTTGTTGAATTGATTTCAGTTGGCGTTTGAGAGGGTGTGTATGTGTGCGTTCCCCCCCCCCCCCCCCCCCCCCTTTTTTCGTAACAAAAATAAAAAAAAGGGGGGGGGGTTAGTTCTAAAGGAACTCTTTCAGTATAAAACAGCATTACTTGCATGTCTTTCAGAACGACTCAACTCTGCCTACATTTCTTGATTATTCTAAAGATGTCACCTAGTTCTTGCTGATTTCCGTAACAGACAGCTGTTTTATTAATACATTGCATGTGAATTATTGGTTTAACCGAGTATATTCTTTAGTGCCTTTAATTAACACCTCCAGACTTAAATACTATTGCCCAATCCTCGGAAAACAGTGTTACGACGAATCTTTGGACTCATCAAAGATGCACACAGCGGTAATTGAAGAGTGAGAAGCGACAATGAAATTAATAATATGTTTAAATCACCACTGATCAAAGGCATAGTGAGAGCTAATAGACTGAAATGGTTGGCATAAACTGAAAGAATGTCAGATGGAAGAGCAGTAAAAACTGTATACACGAGGGGGATGAATGGTCGTAGACCACGAGGCAGACCAAGAAGACGATGAAGAGATAATATCCAATCAGACATGCTCGGTGTCATCAACTGGAAAAAAGAAGACCAAATAGAGAGATGTATGGAGGCGGGTGATATCTGCAGCAATGAACTTTAAGGGCTCGAAATGCTGAAGAAGAAGAAGAGGAGGAGAAGAAGAAGATGGAGTAGGAGAAGAATGTAGCACAGCTCTCTTCTTTTTGCGTTCGTCTTTAGTTTTGCTACAGGAGGAGTCGATTGAAAGATTATAGACGAGTGGAAAGATAGTCGTGTCGATAGTGGTTAGTGCTGTCTTGTACCAGCGGATTGATCATCGACTAACATCTAACATCACGTTCCTAACTAATCCATGGATCCATGTATCTTTTATGTCGTCTCTGTAGTTCGTTGTCTCGTCTGCTCTCTAGTGACTGTCTTCGAGGCTCATATGACTGCCTTAACTGAGGATCATTGAGACTTATCGCTCGTCCTCTGAGACTCAACGACTGAAGGCATTTTTTAAGGGTCAGTATGACTGAGCCTCTTGAGTCTTGTGGACTGAAGAATTGATCTGAGGGTCAATATTCATAGCTCCTCCACTTTCTAAGTCTTTTAGAATGAAAACTGCTAAAGTGCTTTTGTTGCTCATTATTTGTTGTTGTTTTGGTGTTTTTCCCTACTTTTTCTGCTTCTAGAATATTCTTGTATGCTCAACTTGTTTACGTTCTCAAGTGCGATTTTCTAATACTATCGATTGCATCAGATTTCATCATCCTATTCTGCCCGCATCCTCCTCTCTTCCTGCTGTAACGATGTAGTGCTTTTTAAAGTGCTGTAACGGTATGAGAGTGTGATTTCTGTGACTGTAAGTAAGTGTTGTGTGACGGTTCGAATTCACTTTTTTTGTGTGTGGTGTAGCGATATCTGTGTATAGTGACGTGTTGTTGGTTAATTAAATGAGCAACTTACACACGTGTGTGCTATTTCAATGTGTTGTGTGTGACTTGTTGTGGCTGCGTGTTAAATCTATGTGTTGAGTGATATTTTCCTGCATAGTGGTGGTATGTTGTGTTACTTATTGTGTTGAAAGTGTGTGGCAATATTATGTTTTGTGTTTGTTGTATTTTTAAGTGTTGTGTGACTTGTTGTGGTTACGTGTATCTATGTGTTGTGTGATATTTTTGTGTATTGTGTGTGATTTGTGGTGTGGTAAGTTGTGTTGTGTTTGTCATATTTCTATGTGTTGTGTGACTTTTGTTGAAATTTCTAATCGCATCCAGGATTCGATCCCTCTCCTCAGTGGTCCTTGTTTTTCCAGATTCCTGTCTACTGTTAACTGAACTATACTAGCCACGTAGATTTGAGCTGAATATTGACTTATTAGTAATAAACCACCAGCTGTACTGAGGTCTGCGGAATGTCAACAACATAATCATAATCAAATCCCTAATCCGCATTATTTTATTCACAGAATGCAATGCTTATCATCTATATCTTTATATCTATCATATCTATCATTTATATTAATTTTCTAAATTGACATTAGAAAAACATACAATTTATCTGCAGCGATTACTCAATTGAAAAGGTCTTTCGGTTTTTTCTCCACCAATATAATTATACACAATAAAGGAAAGTCTCCACAACAGAACACACCCGAGTTTTGATTTTATGATACAATCTTATCGAAATTTGTCCCATTATTCACATTAAAATTTTTATCACAATCCAAATAAAAGCATATACATAATTACATAATATATAAATTTAAAATAGCAAACATATCCTCTGAGAACTCAGTTAACACTACAGATTCCCATTAAAATCCTGAGGGTTGATCAGTTCAAAGGCTTCACAACTCACTTAAATTGAGTGTAGTATACTCACTGGGACAAAAACATACAAACTTCATTAAGATTAACTGAAATTCATAACATATAAATAAATTAATTACAGAACAAACGACAATGAGAAAGATACAGAATAGATTATAATTCATAATATATATGTAGTGAAGATTAATTATTAAAAAAAAATTCTATTAAACACACACAATTCAAAGAAAGCTGTAGAATTCATTATGAATAATTTGATTTTAGAAGCTAAAACAATGTAATTAACTATTAGGCCGAATACAAATAGAGGGACCAACTATCCGGCCGAATACGATTACGAATAGTGTATCATCATTATCATCAGGTGCCTTGCCGAATGGCGTGGGCGATCATGCCTCCACAATCCGCGCTCTGCTGCAGCATGTATCAGTTTGTGTGCTGACACACCTCCATGCCATGCAACAAGACTGTCAAGAATCTTCTCTCGTTGTCTTCCTCTATCCATCCTTATGCATACCATTCCATTGGTCACAGCATGTTCTATTTTCCTTCTTCTAATTAGATGGCCGAAAAATGATGACTGTCTCCTTCTGATGTCTGTGATAAGTTGTCTTCGGACTCCCGTCTCTTTCAAAACCTCTTGGTTGCTCTTGTTTGGCTGTCTAAGGTATTTTAAAGAATCAGCTCAGAAAATGGAACTAGTTATTAATCAAGATAAGACAGAGTACGTGATAATAACTAGACAGGGAAAGGATATATAGTCTGGCCACAAACAAGTCGATAATATGAAAATCAAACGAACGGAAACATTTAAGTACTTGAGTGCAAACTTCAACTGCTCCAACATGCTGAAAGAAGAAATACAATCTAGAATACAATCTGGAAATAAAGTATACTATGCCTTTTAAAATCAGCTAAAGTCAAAATGTCTGCCTCGCAACACCAAGATCAAAATATATAAAACGTTGATAAGACCAGTCGTTTTATATGGCTCTGAAACTTGCAGCACAACTAACAGAGATGAAGCCTTATTACAGGTTTTCGAAAACAGTCTTACGACAAATCTTTGGACCCATCAAAGAAGCAAACAGCGTTGAATGGAGAGTAAGAAGCAACAACGAATTTCATAATCTGTTTAAATCACTATTGATCACTGGAATAATGAGAGCTGAAAGGGTTGGGCCATACTGAAAAAATGTCAGGTGACAGATAAGTAAAAACTGTATACACGAGTTAGATGAATGGTCGTAGACCACGAGGCAGACCAAGAAGACGATGGAGCGATGGCGTCCAGACAGACCTGCAAACACTTGGTGTTACCAGCTGAAAAGAGAAGGCCAGCCAGAGAGATGAATAGAGGTGAGTGATATCTGCAGCAATGAACCACAAGGGCTCTGAATGCTGAAGAAGAAGAAGGTATTTTAAGGATTCTTCTGTAAAACCACATCTCTGAGGCTTCAAGAAATTGTTTGGCCTGCCTACCGATTGTCCAGGACTCACAGCCATATGTTAGAACTGGATGTATGTAGCAAGCAAGAATTCTTTTTCTAATCTTCATTGACAGACACATATTGTTTGTCCTGTTTCTTGTCTCAGTAATGCATCTTCCATCTGATGTTATCCATGTGCCCAGATATTTAAATGTCTGTACTTGTTCCAAAATAACACCATTGACTTTTATTACACATTCAGGGATAATTCTTTTCTTTGATACCACCATTACTCGAGTCTTCTCATTACTCAAACTGAGGCCCATTCTTCCACTTTCTACTACAACAATGTTTATCATTTCCTGTAGTCCTTTCTGGATTGTTACTATCAAGACTGTGTCATCAATATAACATAAATTGTTTATATTGTGCCTACCAACAACAATTACAGGCGACATATCAATTAAAAATCTCATTATATATTCACTGTATAATTAAAACAAATCAGGTGACAGTACACATCCTTGTCGTCCCTAAACTGTTGTTAATTTTTATAAACTCACAATTCTTGCACTCTTAGCAAAGATGTGGATGTGTGGCTCCCAAAATCCACCGAAAGCCTTTCTCTCTCTAATGGCGTTAAAAATCGGCATGATCCATGCGCCGGCCCTCTGTAACTAAGGCAGAACTGGCTAATCTGTCGGCTCTTTCATTGTCAACAACCCCCGCATTAACTGGGACAAAGTGCATGGAGTTGTGCAGTGATTCGATCTACTGTCTGCGTACAAAGCTCGCCTCGACCAGCCGGGTCATGCTCATGGAATCACTCAGCAGACACACAGGTGAGAATAGCCCTGCGATGCTAGCCACATGAAAGCTCGTGTCGCCGCCATCACCTCCATTGATGCTGCTAGTAGTCATACAGAAGGCAATACTGGCCTCCTGGACTGTTCTGCCTGCAGAGCACCCAGTAAATGCACAT